AAAGCAGTGATGCGAGGATTTCTAATTCAACAAAATTCTGTAAAAAAGAGAAAGCAAAATGAGAAGAAGGACAAGATCTTGGAAAAGATAAAAGAAGGAGAGAAGAAATTGAGATCAAAACCAAAGTCCCAGGAGATTTTGAGAGAGATTAAGTTATATCAGACACAATACATGGAATTGATGAATCAAGAGATTGAATGGAAGATAAAACAAATGAGACAAAAGACATTTGAATCTGCAGATAAATGTGGTAAACTTCTGGCTTGGCAATTGAAGAAAAGGCAGAAACTAAACACAGTTACAAGCCTAGAAGTGGATGGAAAGAATATATCTAAACCTAACGAGATAAGAAATTGTTTTTTGAGTTATTTTAAAAAACTATATTCACAAGGACCACAGAAGGAGGAGGATATAGAAGAATTTCTTAAAAAGTATGGACTACAAAAAATCTCTCACCAAAGTAAGGTGGATCTAAATCAGAGAATAACAGATCAAGAGATAGAGGGTGCCATTCAAAACATGCAACTGGGCAAATCTCCAGGACCAGATGGACTGACTTCCAGATATTATAAGGCTTTGAAGGAGTGGTTGGTACAACCATTAAAGGAAGTCTGCAATGAGATCTTAGAGGGAAAAGGGCACCAGAATCGTGGAAAGAAGCGTACATTACACTCATACCAAAGACAGAGATTGAAAAGAATCAACTTAAGAACTACCGCCCAATATCATTACTTAATGTGGATTACAAAATTTTTGCAGACATTTTGGCAAAAAGATTGAAAAGAGTGTTGATGGAGAAGATTCATAAGGACCAAGCAGGCTTTCTCCCTAAAGGCATTTATCAGACAATGTGAGGAACATAATAGACATTTTGGAATTATTAGAGGTGAATATAAACACTAAAGCAGTTCTGATCTTTGTAGATGCGGAGAAAGCCTTTGACAATATTTCTTGGAGTTTTATGAAAAGAATCTTCATGGGATGGGGTAGGCCAAGGATTCGAGAAGGGTGTGGGTGCCATATACACTGAACAAAAAGCTAAATTGATTGTAAATAATGTGATAACTGAAGAATTTAAAATAGAAAAAGGGACACGACAGGGGTGCCCTATTTCCCCATTACTTTTTATTTCTGTTCTGGAGGTGTTGCTAAATATGATTAGAGATGACCAGCAGGTTAAAGGTGTACAGGTCGGAGCTAAACAGTACAAGTTAAGGGCCTTTGCAGATGATTTAGTACTTACTTTACAAGAGCCAGACACTAGTACAAAAGGGTGTTGGAGCTAATCCAAGTATTTGTAAAGGTAGCTGGATTTAAATTTAATAATCAAAAGACTAAAGTTTTGGAAAAAATTTAACAGTCATGGAGAGGGAGAAGTTTCAGAATGAAACAGGTTTGACAGTGGTAAAGAAGGTGAAATACCTAGGGGTTTATTTGACATCTAAAAATTTGAACCTGTATAAAGACAATTATGAAAAATGTTGGTCGGAAATTAAAAAAGATCTAGAAATATGGTCAAATTTGAAATTGTCAATGTTAGGCCGAATTGCAGTTATTAAGATGAATGTATTGCCTAGAATGTTATTCTTGTTTCAAACACTACAAATTCTAGACAAGATAGACTGTTTCAAGAGGTGGCAGAAGGATATTTCGAAATTTGTCTGGCAGGGCAAAAGCCCAGAATAAAATTTAAAATACTGACGGATGCAAAAGAAAGAGGGGGTTTGCCCTGCCGGACTTAAAACTGTATTATGAAGCAGCAACTTTTTGCTGGCTGAAAGAATGGATGCTCCTCGAGAATACAGACATCTTGGACTTAGAAGGTTTTAACAATACATTTGGTTGGCATGCATATTTATGGTATGATAAAATCAAGGTGCATAAGGCCTTTAAAAATCATATTGTCAGGAAAGCATTATATAACGTTTGGATAAGATATAAAGATTTGGTGGAAAGTAAGACCCCTAGATGGTTGTCACCTTTGGAAGCCACGGCGTTGAAAAAGCTTAATATGGAAGCCGAATGGCTAAAGTATCGGGAAATTTTGGAACAAGATGGAGATAAGTTGAAGCTACAGAGCTATGAGAAATTGAAACCCAAAGTACGAGATTGGCTCCATTATTATCAAATAATGGAGGTGTATAAACAAGACAGGAAAATTGGCTTCCAGGTGGAGAAATCAAAATTAGAAACTGAACTGTTAGAACCCAATACTAAGAACTTGTCAAGAATGTATAATTTGCTGCTGAAATGGAATACACAAGATGAAACAGTTAAATCAGCTATGATTAAGTGGGCACAGGACATTGGTCATAACATTATGTTTGCTGACTGGGAATGGTTGTGGAACACCGGTATAAAATTTACGGCATGTAATGCCATAAAGGAAAATATTATGAAAATGATCTATAGGTGGTACATGACTCCAGTCAAGCTAGCAAAAATTTATCATTTGCCTGATAATAAGTGTTGGAAGTGTAAAGAAACTGAAGGTACTTTTATCACCTTTGGTGGACGTGCCCAAAGATTAAGGCTTTCTGGGAAATGATATATAATGAATTAAAAAAGGTACTTAAATGTACTTTCTTGAAGAAACCAGAGGCCTTTCTCCTGGGCATTGCCGGCCAATTGGTATCAAAGAAAGACAGAACTTTTTTTATGTATGCTACGACAGCAGCAAGAATACTCATCGCAAAGTATTGGAAGACAGAAGAACTACCCACCTTGGAAGAGTGGCAGATGAAGGTTATAGACTATATGACATTGGCGGAGATGACTGGCAGAATCCGTGAGCAGGGGAAAGAGACGGTGGAAGAAGATTGGAAGAAATTTAAAATCTATCTAAAGAACTATCATAAAATTGAGGAATGTTAAAATGTCGAGGTTTGGAGAAAGAAAAGGAGATTACAGCGACATAAGATTAAGTTGAAGAAAAAAAAAAATAAGAAAAATATATTTGATAAAATTATTTAGAATTTGCTGAAATAATTTTGGAAATTGGGATGTAGGAAGGGGAGGTTTGGGGGAGTCCGAGAAGAGAGGGTTATGAAAAAAAAGGTTATGAAACTATACATGTTTGTATGTCTTTTTATTTGTTTGTATTGTATAAAACTTGTCTGTAAAATCAATTAAAAAATTATATATATATAAAAAAAAAGAAATAGATGATGAAAACAGTGATGATAGTATTCATATATCTAAATGGAAAAATAAGGGACTTCTAAAATATGGAGTAACATGTACCTAAGTACAGTGGTACCTCAGGTTACAAACACTTCGGGTTACAAACACTTTGGGTTACAGACTCCGCTAACCTGGAAGTAGTACCTCGGGTTAAGAACTTTGCCCCAGGATGAGAACAGAAATTGTGTGCTGGCGGTGCCACGGCAGTGGGAGGCCCCATTAGCTTAAGTGGTACCTCAGGTTAAGAATGGTTTCGGGTTAAGAATGGACCTCCAGAATGTAACCAGAGATACCACTGTAGTTTATAATGTGCTCTTTTGCAATGAAAAGTTGTTTTGGTTTTCATTTGTATTTCTTTAAGGATTGGCAAGTCAGTGGCGGACCTTGGCATTTCAAATTTCAGTGGTACCCTGTGTTACT